TCTAAGAAGAGATCACCTCATTAGGTCCTGAGCCCTCCTAGCCAATGCTGTCTCCACAATGGCCAAGCAGATGCTTTGGGGAATTTACTGACATACGTGATTGTATTTTGCTTTTCTCTGATGGGGAAAACGCCAAGAAGCTTGAGTATGGGAAGGTCCATAAGACAGGCATGACACAAAAATCTCCCATCATTTCTCCTGTAACTATAGTTGCTGCCAATAATAGAGCCATCACGACTAGAAGGTGTTGATAGCTTTAGTCTCAAGAAATGTGTCTAGTCTTGTCTTAAAACCCTTCACGTAAATAAACACCATTGCATTTTTGTAGAAACCATCTCCTTTGGCTTTCTATATGTCTTATAGAAAATTGTCATTAATAATACTTTCCATCAGTTTATTTGGGGCATATTCTAATCGGCTAACTAGTCAGCTTTTTATTGTTTCCTCTCCAAATCCTTAAAAAAAACACATTATCTTAACCACTTTCATGTTTTCTGGTAGAGAGGATGATATTAGGGATGCTTTTGTTATGTAAGGGGGCTGAATCATTTTGGACTAAGGACCGTTTTTGAGGGGCATGCCAGGAGATACGTATACTCCAAAAATTGGTCAGGGATAGGACAAAATTTAATTTTGATTTAATTTTAATTGACATGTATCAAATTAACATATTTAAATATAGTTAATTTTCCATTTATTTTCTGTTATATTCCGTGGGGTCTGCAAGTGAATTAGAGTGACAGAAGCAGCATCATGATGAAAGACCCCCCCCCTTTCCACAGACACCATAAGGCTGTGATGGCAAACCTATGGCACGCATGCCAGAAGTGGCATGCAGAGCCATCTCTCCAGGCACGTGATCCGTCACCTATTGCTTTTCCAGTTTCCAGCGCACTGGCCAGCTGGTCTTCATGCATGCGGAAGTGCTGGAAAACAACAGCATGTGCGCACCAGGAAGATAATCTTCCAGTATTCAGCGCGCTTATGCTCACTGGCCAGCTGATCTTTGAGTATGCATGCACGCCAGAAACCAGAAAACCAGCTGGCCAGCGTACATGCGCACACCAGAAACTGGAACATCATCTTCCTGGTGCATGCATGCACACTAGGCAGCTGCTCTTCCGTTTTCCGGCACGCACGCTCCCGTTTCAGCACTCGGTGCCGAAAAGATTCGCCAACCCTGTCATAAGGTCACATGGACTTAAGGGCAGGACGTATGTCACAATACTGCAGTGTCTCAAAGGTGCTTTTTTTTTCCAAAAAGCAATTGGACTTTCTGGTTTTCTTTCATTGAGAAGTTGGGGCTATGCTTTCTGCAGCATGTTTTCCGCCCTGCGTCCCTGCACTGTTGAGCACGGGCTGATGGGAATGAGTCTGTGCTGCCTGCATCTCAAAACTGAAGCGCAAATGGTTCCTATAGTCTGCAGTTTTTCTGGAAATCCTCTGGAGGGAAAAGCACCTTTGGGACAACCATGACCCGGAGGACTGAGAATCTCCATACACAGAATGCCGCAGTGTTGCTTTGATCAAGTAGGCTAAGGCAATGAAAGCCTGTGGATGGTGCTGGGTGGTATTAATTTTTTGCAACATTAGTGTGGGAGGTACTTTCAACCCTCTTATTAGAAGACAAGTGATTTCACATCTGAGCTATTTTGAGATCTTCTGAGGAATTATATTCTGGACCCAATGATGTTTGGTATTCAGTTTTTTTAGGGGGGCCTAGGTTCACTCTTTGCCTTAATACCTTAATACAACATACCTCTTAGTTTCTTACTAAGGAGAAATCAAGTTCATAAAATCTGAGATTTGAAGTGGCAATATTTTTAGAAGGAACCATTAAAAAAACAAATGAAACACTTCAACCTCCCCAATAATTCTATTGTTACACGTAAGGTGATGTTCAAGAACACAAATATTTCAGGTAGGTATTCAAAAAAAAATCCAGAATCAAGTAACAATTCATCAAGAAGCTTACTTCTATCTTCTGAAAATGGAAAGTTTCCTGCTTATTTAATTTCTATACCATTGCAATCTGCATGGGCTCTTGGAATTTGACCTGAATAAAACAATATTTCATACAACAGTGTTTCTCAACCTTGGTGACTTTAAGTCCTGTGGACTTCAACTCCCAGAATCTCCTAGCCAGCACAGCTGGCTGGGGGATTCTGGGAGTTGAAGTCCACAGGACTTAAAGTCACCAAGGTTGAGAAACACTGTCATACAATCAACAACACCTGAGCAATATAGACAATAAGATCGTATCAAGCAATTATTTCCTGAATGTTCTTGGGAAATGTTCAGCCTCCACTAACTTCCAAATAGCCACCAGTGTTAAGTTTATTCTGGCCTTGAGAAGAAGAGATAAGAGTTCCAAAATAGGGATTGCAATAAAAATGGCCAGATTTGAACAAGGAAAATACATCTGGTAGGTGGAAGTGCTCCTGAGGTAGTTTGAAACCAAGCAATAAAGGGCTTTATAAACTAAAAGCATCTGTAATTAGAAACAAATTATAGCCAGTTCAGGCCCTGTGTTAATGGGTGTCACGTAGCTATGGTGATATTTGTTTGCCAGCAAGTACACCATTGCATTTTGCAACAAACACAGTTTCTAAGTACTTTTTAAAGGCAACCCCATTCAGTAGTCCAGTGATGGTAATAAGAGAATAAGTCACTGTTGCTAAAACTTCCCAATCCATGTAGGAAGGGTACAACTGGCACAAAACTGAAGAGCTCCTGATCATGCCTTCTACCTACCCATCTAGCAGACTGTGAGTTTAGAACAATCAGGTGTAAACTAAACAGTAGCTCAGTTTTGCTGGGATTTAACTTCAGGCTATTTTGTTCCTGAACCTCCAATCAGAAGTTGAGGTATATAGGTGAAAAGGTGGAGATGTAGACTAAAAGCCATTTAAATAACCTGCTTCCTCTAAAATGCTTGTTAACTGATGCCTCACCATCTTCCCTATAACTTCCCTCAGAAAGGGAAGGTTGAAGACAAGGCAATAGTTGTCCGAAAGAGCTGTGATGAAAGAAGCCTCTTGAAATGGCTGTGTACCGCTGCCTCCTTCAAGATGGCTGATATCATCCCCTCCCTTAGAGACTTGGTCCCGGTTAGTGTGTGTCCCACACCGCCCATAAAATTAAGCAAACTGAAGGAGCTAAGAGAAGCATGGATCCAATCTCACAGACAGCTTGTTAGATAGTACCCTGTCCCACTTCCTTGGAGTGCATAGGCTGAAAGGAGTCCTAGAAGACATTACAAGACATTATCCCAGCCATCATTTCTGTCTTTGTTCATGGAAGAACCAGACTGCAATGAATGCGATTTTTATTATCAAAATGTTGGACTAACAATCATAGAAGCCAGGTGGCAGCTCTTCCTGCTCATCCTTCCCCTGGCAAGAATTGAACATTCATCTAAAGCGAGATTAGCAGCACAGGATTGATGCTTTCTTGCTCTTACTGCTATTGTGTAGGCTTGAACATAAGCTCGTGCCCCTACGCATTCGGATTCACACTTCATTTTCCCTCCACCAGCATTCCAGGCGTAGTTACTACTGCTTCATCTCCTATATTTTCCAAAGAGCTCCCTAGAATTGGCTAATGAGAAGGGGCCACTTGGGAGCAAACGTATTAAGTAATAAAGTTGCCTCCTGAATCCCAAAGTCTATGGGGTACTCTTAAGATCACTAAGAAGATCCCTCAAATACCCTCTAGAATCCACCTGAATCCATTAGGCTGCAGAGACAGACCTGCTTTGCAGAGGTCCTGGGCAATCATGAATCTTATCGTGGCCAGAGAGTTATCTAATTATGATAAAAAAAAGTTCAATTGAATCCCCGCTACCTCATTAACTGCTCTGAGAAAACAACCCAGGTATACCTGTATGTGTATGAACCGATTTATGTGGGACATGCCTAATGGTTGTCCTGGAACTTCTGAGCCTTCTCCGAAGTTCCTCTCAAGATGTGGCAATTTCCAAACTAGTCTTAATAGGTAGGTTTAAAAAAACATTCTATTCAGCAGCACAGCAGTCAGAACATTTAACAGGACCCCCAGCTTATCTCTGTTGTCTAATCATACACATAGGCACGCCTGCCCTATTTCCCCAGAACTGAAACCTTGGCCACAGACAAGATGTCTCTCATAATCATCACAACCCCACCCAGTCCTGGAGTTGGTTGCTGAAATACTCAAAATTAGAGGATTTAGGGGGAATTTCAGGATGACATCAGTGCTCTTCCCCCACAAGGTTTTTGCTAATGCATGCCAGATCCACTTGGGTATCCGGTATCAAAGTGTGGATGAAGATGATTAAATTACAAGTAAATCTGGCATCTACCATTAGTAGCTCAAGGCCAGGATCATTAGCCGTTTACTTCTTAGATTTCGGATTGAGGTGTTTGGGCTAGAAGTGGGGAGCATCACCAAATGTTTGGTCCTCCTACAGTAACTTGCCTACTTCTTTGCACTGTTTCCCTCAATCCATTTCTTCTTCTTCTTCTTCTTCTTCTTCTTCTTCTTCTTCTTCTTCTTCTTCTTCTTCTTCTTCTTCTTCTTCTTCTTCTTCTTCTTTACACGATAAGTATTGTTTTGTGAATGACTCCTCTTAATACGATTGCATGAATACTTGTACTTCCTGATTTCATTTCCCCCAGTTTCACTTTTTACAAACTCCTCTCCATAAATCTAAGCCATGCACAGTTTTTGGGACTGTAGCAGGAGAATAATCAACATATGCAAAACTACTGCAATATAAGGACCCAGATTGTGGGGGTGATATGCTGACTCTGTAAACCGCTTAGAGAGGGCTGAAAGCCCTATGAAGCAGTATATAAGTCTAATTGCTATTGCTATAAGCCACCACATTGTCTTTTTCTTAGTAGTGACTTCGGCTTTCCTTTGTGCAGCTTCAGGAGAGCAGGAATAGTCAGGCTTCTATACTGGAACTTTCCTGTTCCAACGTGTTTGCATTATTATTATTATTATTTTTATTCCAGGGCTTTGTATACCTATGAAGACGACTCTGATAATCTGAAGCTGGCAGCCTCAGGAAGTGAGTATTGGCATCAAATGTTACTTTGTCTTTAATTCGAGGAGTTTTTGTCTCCACAAACGGATATCTGTTCTTCCCTTCCATAGACCCCAGTTGCATAGACCGGGTGGGGGGTGGGGGGTCGAATTTGGGAATGAGTTGCTCCTGACTTGTGACAGGGATCTCCCCAGATGGCTGAGAAAACAGATTTCATTTTATAAAGCGTATCATAAGCTGAAAAGCAGAAGGGTCTTGATTCTTACTTTGTCCCATGAGTGCGTTGCTTTCTCTCCCCAGCTGGTGGCCTGCAAGAGCTGTCGAGCCATTTTGAGATCCAGAAGGTGATGTACGGATTCTGCAGTGTCAAAGATCCCCAGGCCACCCTGCCTAAATATGTCCTCGTTAATTGGGTAAGGCCTTAAAAAAAAAAACCCCTCTCTGGGGAATAGCTCACTCTCGTTTCCTGATGTTTTCATTTATATGCATGATATAAAATTGACTAGCCTAGAAGAACAAATTATGCTGCATTTAAAATGTATACTAAGCAGATACTCTTCCTTCTCCCTCCTCTCACCCTCATTTGATTGAGTAGTCCTATCTGGATTGATACGATAGCTAAGGCTGAGTGGCCTGGTCCTTGCTCTCACTATCTTTGTTTAAAATAATTAGTAAATACAGTCACATCCCTGGTTTGGGCAAAATGGTGTGCGTGCATTCATTCTACCAAGAGGCTAGGAGAAAGAGGTCTCTTCCTAACCCCTACTCAAACTTGAGCTTGATCTGAATCAAGCAGTTATTTGTTTCCCTCATGGTAAAAACAAAATGTATAAGGACACAATCTTTAAGCTCCACATACTGTGTTTTTTGGTCCTGAGTGGGCTTAGCTATCTTGCAAGAATTGGACAGGAGAACTTCTAAGTGATGATTTCCTCATCACAATTTTTTTTCCCTTTCCCCCCCTCTTCCTATTCTTACACCACAAGAAACCTTTTGGGATCTGGGCGTAACAGCCTTAAGATTTAGACAGACTTTAGGTAAAAAGTGGCCCTCTAATATCATGAAATTCATCCTCCTGATGAAGGTTGGTGTCTCTCTCAACTTTTGGACCAGTCATACATGACTGTTTTTCAACACAAGGCTATCTCTTTGTAAGAACATCTGTGCTTTCTCCTATTCAAGAAAACATCAAGATGGCTCTGAGGAATACAGTGAAGGAAAAGCTGGTTCTTTTAGCAGACATATTGCTGGCTTCCATTGACCACAGTAGATTGTACAGTATTGCCCTCTAATGGAATTGCTGTGGTAATAAACAGCATAGGTTTACACCCCTTGCCTCACCATCCAGAAACCGCCCATTCTCACGTTACCATACTGTCTTTCTTTCCTTCATCACTCCCTAGTTTTTAACCTACATTTTCAGCACTTAACTCAGACCTTGGCTAATGGAAATGTTTAAATACAATAGTCTTTAGGGAGAAAATAGCTTGCAGATTTTTTTAAGTAAGTGAATTCTCGGTAGGAATATACTTGGAAATTTTAAAAAAAGCCAGTGCTGTTTTCCAGTTATTCAGGAGAGGCCTAGAAATCCTGAACACCAGTTTCCTGCTGCTGTGTCCACACTCTCAAGGATTACCTCCCCCAGATTATTACCCCCTCCCCAGTCCAGATGTGTTGGATTATAACTATAATTACCACCAACCAAAATAGCTAGAGCTGTGCTGCTTGGAAACGATAGAGAACACATTTGAGGATGCCAGGCTGGAGAAAACTGTTTGAGGAATATATTTAAAGGATTTCCCTTGGTGTTTTGCAGTAATTGAGATGGCAAAGAAACAGCTGAGTGTATTTGTGAAGTGCAACCATGTCTATTTGCCTGCCTGGGGGTGATGGCATTTTCCTGGATATCACATGGTTGGATACTCCTGAGCAACAGACCTTCCTATAAATGCCTTGCTTTTTGATTAAGAGCAGCTACTGAGCTGCAAATTGTTATTTTAATTTAGAAAGTGAAAAGGGGATGAACAACATGCCCTAGGAAGAGCTTGTCCACTCCTCCATGATGAGAGGATTCAATATAAAGCAACAGAAGTCATGTTGACTCTGTAAGTTCCAGCTTCCTTTTTCTAGATGTTGTTGCTACAGGAGTCCCCATGGAGACCTACCCCACTATTTGTGTAGTAGGCACATCTGGAATTTCAGAAGTGGGAGACTACACAAAATGGTTCTCATGATCGTCATGTGGGCAGGGAGGTGGCGGTCACAGAACTGGCGAGATAGTTCTTCCCCATTCCTCTCACTTCTCTGTTTATCCTTGAAAACTTTTTTTTTCTCCGGGTGAGCAAACATTCACACAATGCTTTAGATTGCAGCCATCTATTTTTTTAAATAAAAAATTCTAAGAATGTCTCTAGAGTTTGTCAAGGGAAGATTCTCGGTCATCCAGGTCATGGTTGTCCCAAAAGTGCTTTTTCAAAAGGCAACTGGACTTTGTTTTTCCTTGAAGATGTTTCGTTTCTCATCCAAGAAGCTTCTGTTGGAACTGAAGAAGCTTTTAAATAGCAGTTAGACTTATATACCGCTTCATAGGGCTTTCAGCCCTCTCTAAGCGGTTTACAGAGTCAGCATATTGCCCCCAACAACAATCCGGGTCCTCATTTTACCCACCTCGGAAGGATGGAAGGCTGAGTCAACCCTGAGCCTGTGAGATTTGAACAGCCGAACTGCAGAACTGCAGTCAGCTGAAGTAGCCTGCAGTGCTGCATTTAACCACTGCGCCACCTCGGCTCTGAGAAGTGAAAGGTCTTCCAGGAAAAACAAAGCCCAGTTGCCTTTTGAAAAAGCACCTTTGGGACTCTTTGTGACCTGAACATATCCTTAGAAATGTATGCATGATGCTTTGCTTTGTTTCCCTTTTAATGAAAATCATATTTACCTAAAGATCAGGGCAATAGGATCACATCAAAGGAGGGGAACACCCTGGCATCCATTGAATTTAAGAGAGGTCAGAAGGAGAGGGGCGTTGCTTTACTACATCGCTCGCAGAATGATATGGCTTTTGTCTAAGTGTCACATCTCTTGTTGCTGGCCCAAATGTATATCTGGAATACCTTTCATTTCTGAAACCCAAGGAACTTTACTGGTTTTCTTCTGCTCTGGCGCCATCTTTGTCTCTGTTAATTTTTTCTGGAGACCCTGTGGGCACATGATGAACATGCCTGCTACTTTCAATGCATGGAATGACATTTCTCAGCATTCATCTTTCCTACCATTCTTCCCATTCATTCTTGGCAGGTTGGAGAGGATGTAGCTGATGCCCGCAAGTGTGCCTGTGCTAGCCACGTGGCCAAAATTGCAGAGTTCTTCCAGGTAGGTGAGAAATTATGTGAATGGAACATGCAGGTGGAAATGAGAGGCCGAGCAAGCTAATGGTCAAGACTTGGACCCGGATTGGGGAGAGCCATATGGATGATATTGGTCTGTCACTCACTCTCAGCTCAGTTTATCTCGACGCATTGTTGCTGGGAGAGTAAAATTAGGAGATAATCTTTTGTAAGCTGCTCTGAGCTCTTAGAGAAAAGATGGGATCTAAATAGAATGAATCAATAATTAAACTTCTGTTGTATCCAAAACATTGAGATAATAGCCATTTTACATATAGTGTAATGATATTTGGACTCCATTATATTTACTTTGTTTTAGAGCAGGGCATTCTATTGCTCTAGAAATACATGTAACTTGTGCCTTAATTTCAGCCTTTAAAAAATGTCTTTCTATACTGTCTCTTATGGGGCAAGGCTGTTGGTTGCAGAGAAAAGAAAGTGATACAATCAGAATGCAAGAAAAATAAGGATGTCAGGAAGGGAAAAAAAAGAGGGAAGTTAAAGAATGAATGATTTAGGTAAGGTCCTAATCACAGCTTGCTTCAATCCTACCTATCATGAGCACCCCAACATTTAACTCCTATACATAAGTAATAATAAGACTAAGAAGGATAAGTAATAAATAATAATTTAAAGATGGTCTTCCCCTAAAATGTGTTGATAATGCCCTATTTGAAAGGGGCCCCAGTTCCACATGGTGAGTCTGGGGCGACCACGTCTTGTCTCAGAAAAAAACTGATCCTGAATACTTTTGTGTGATTTTAATGCCTCTTCTGACAGGGTGTGGATGTAATTGTCAATGCTAGCAGTGTGGAAGACATAGACCCGGGAGCTATTGGTCAGCGACTCTCCAATGGCTTGGCACGCATTGCCAGCCCAGTGCTGCACCGCCTTCGCCTGCGCGAGGATGAGAATGCCCAGCCTGTGGTAATGCTTCTTCTACACTCTTCACTCTTCACCAACCTAATATTAGATTTTCTTTCCTTTCTTCTCTCTGTTGGGGTAGGAACAGAAACAAAAGGATCCCAGCTTATTTCTGGGTCTCAAGGACCAAACGCTTCATTTTTAAGAGTTACAATAGAGAAGAACAACAGTTCTTAGCAGTGGTGAAATTCAACATTTTTTACTACCGGTTCTGTGGGCCTGGCTTGGTGGGCATGGCAGGGGAAGGATACTGCAAAATCTCCCATCCCATCCCACTCTGGGGCCAGCATTCTTCCCAACTACTCAAAATTTCCACTAAACGGTTCTCTGGAACCTGTCAGAACCTGCTGAATTTCACCCCTGGTTCTTAAAGTTTATCTGTTGTTACATGTTCCTTCAGAGGAAGTTATATATTTGGGGAAATGTCTAGGCAGTTATTCCCATGCAATTATGATCATGCACAATGGAAGAAATCATTCCATTAAGGTGACATGCACTCTAGTAAGAATAGATGGTTGCTTTTTGAGGGGGACAGCAAACCTAAGAGTACAAACACACATGTCCCAATGAGCCTTCTCTGACTGGTTTCTGAATTCTAGGGCACAGTCTATCAGAAGACGGATGCAGCTGTGGAGATGAAACGCCTCAACCGGGAGCAGTTCTGGGAGCAGGCTAAGGTTGGTCATCCTTCTTCTACATCAGGGGTGTCAAATTCAATTTCATTGAGGGCTGTGGTTGACCTTCGGGGGCCGGGTGGGTGTGGCTGACTGGGTGGGTGTGGCCGACTGGGTGGGCATGGCCAGCTTGACGTCACTCCCCAAACTGCTGTTTCCTCTTCACATTTGGTAGATCAGGCTGAAGCTACGCTGGTCCAATGTTTCGCACTGGGTAGACAGGGCCAAAGCAATGCAGGCTGGCCCCTTACATTTGCCAGGCCAACCCCATGGGTCGGATCCAACCACATCGCAGGCCGGATCTGGCCAGTGGGCCTTGTGTTTGACACCCCTGTTCTACATAGCTCAGGCTGAGAGACACATACGTGTGGGTGCCAATAGGTCCATCGACCTGCCCAAAACACACAGTCGGTCCTGGCTTCCTTTCATCCCCTCTACTGTGTGATGGGAGGCATGTTATGACTAGAGTTGGCATTGACCATCCCTATTTCCCCCTTTGCAGAAAGAGGAAGAGCTACGCAAAGAAGAAGAGCGGAAGAAAGCCCTGGATGAGCGGCTGCGTTTTGAGCAAGAGCGCATGGAGCAGGAGAGGCAGGAGCAAGAGGAGCGTGAGAAGCGCTACCGGGAGCGTGAAGAGCAAATCGAGGAGCATAGGCAAGGGAGGGACTAGGAGGAGGAGGATGTGGAGGGAGGGAGGGTGCTGATAGTAGTAATAGTGAGTGGGAGAAGCAATAGCCAGATCTATGGCGTTCTCCAACTGAGACAAAAGCTGCTTCCTCCCACAGAGGGTGGCATTTATGAGCAGCTGTAATTTTGTCCATTATTCTTTTGACGTGTTAGGCTTAGAATTTTATATAGATCTGTTGTTTTTTTGTGTTTCTTTTTTGCCAGTCGTGGTTATGTCATGTTTTTCATGGGTCTGATTGATTTTCTTTTAGAAGAGATTGCTGGTCTCCTAGGGTGAAGTTATAATTCTACCTCTCTTTGGGAGGCCTCATTGATGTTATGTAGAAATACAAGGATGTTTCTTTGACACACTTTCATATTAGAAGTAAAAATTGTCTTGTCTCATTGCTTGCCCAGTTGCTTTTCCTTCTGTTTGGCTTGTCCTCGGTGTGTCCAAGTTGTGTCTCAATGTTCTGCCTGCCTCGCCCTAATTTTAATGAATCTGCTGCAGCTAGATACTTACATTATGCTTCAGTACTGGGAAAAGGCCGCACATGAATTCAAGGGTACAGGCTATGTTTTGACAACGGAAAGCCCCAGGTTCAAGTGCTGCCGCCCATCAAAAAGGAATTTGAATAGCTTACAAAAACTTGTTTCATTCCCTAACCGATTAGCCTTTTGCTGTGCGTATATTTAATTGTTGAGTAAGCTATAACTTGTTTTATTTATTACAATAAAAAAAAACATTTCAAGGAATTTATTCTCCCAGCATGCCTGTGGGTTGATTAGACTGGGATACAGTGACTGCTGGTAGTCCTCCCCATTGGTTTATGGGGATTTCAGCCTCCCCAGTTCATACATAATTTTTCAGACTGTGCTTTATGGCACTCTTTGGTCTCTTGGAAACATATGACAACTAGAAACAGCAGCTCCTTTTCCCCGCTGATTGTGCCCTGTTAGTGAGCACTTACAGAAATCTGTTGAATATGCACTAGACTACAGCATAATCTCTCTCTGTATTTTTAATGGGAAGCCCAAAAGGCCTAACTGGGGGCTTGATTGATTAAGCAGTTCTGAGGTGCATCAGGAAACTGGAATCAAAATTGTCCTGCGGTCCCATTGTCCCCAGACGGTCTGCTAAGGGACCCTCTCCTCTATTTATAGGCAAGGTGCTTCTGTGAGTGACATTCTCAGTGGGAGACAATATGTCACAGAATGCTCCCACCCTGAAGCTACTATATGTGGCCCCAATTCTTCTTCTTATTCTTTAACAAATTAAAGTGATATTATTCAAACTGATTTTGGACCTTTAGTTGATTTGGGTGCCTGTGAGTATATGGTTTTTAATTGCCTTGTGTGTTTATATATTATAGTTTTTGTTTTGCCATTCCCTGCTCAAGGTCCATTAGGACTGGGTCAGGCTAAACTATAGATTAGACAATGACCGAGATAGATAAAATGCTACTTACACAGTAGTTTGTGATAGCTCTGCAAGGTTATCCTAGCAATCGGGTTGCCACCCTTCCACTTGTTACAAGATATCTGTGGTCCCGTTCCTTTCATATGCTTAAATGGACCAGTTGGGAGAATATGGTTTGTTGCAAGAACAATCTGCGGTTGATTGACTCTGGGTAGCCAGAGCCCCAAGAGATTCCATTCAGCTCAAAACTTCACGTTACACTAAGTCAGTCAGCTGTGTTAGAAGATTATCAAAACCCTATCAATTGTGTTTTGCGGGGGGGGGGGGGATTGCTGAAGAGAAAGAATGGCTACAAAAGCATTGCAGGAAGTTCTCATTTAGTGACTGCCTTGGTTGGGACCTGTTCATGGTTAAGATAGTGATAAAGTAACTTTGCCACCAATCCTCACATTTATGATCTCCACAGATCATGCGAAGCGAAGGAAAGCTGTAGTAAGATTGTAAGCCAAGTCAGGGTTTTACTTAGTGACCACTTCATTTAATGACTGAGTTGCCAGTTCCAAATGTGATGACTAATTGAGGACTACTTGCGCAGAACTCACTGCTAAACCCTGTCAGCAGAAAACGTACCTTCCCAACATTGTTGAACTGCTAGATTCAACTCCCAGAGGTTGTTAGATAACTGGTCAATGGGGAAGAGGCTAGTGATCTCAAGAAGTATTGCCAGTTTTCTTCTCGAGCAGTGTTTCTCAGCCTTGGCAACTTTAAGAAGGGGAGAGCCACATTTTTTAAAAAAGTTGTTGAGATAGTAATACCACTTCACAGTGCTTTACAGCCCTCTCCAAGCGGTTTATGCAGAGTCAGCATATTACCCCTAACAATCTGGGTCCTCATTTTACTGGCCTTCAAAAGGATGAAAAGTTGAGTCTACCCTGAGCCTGGTGAGGATTGAACCCCTGGCGGTCAGCAGAATTAGCCTGCAATACTGCATTCTAACCACTGTGCCACCACAGAGCGTGGTGATTGTGAAACATTGTTCTGGTTAAGATACCTAGTTAAGGTATGACTTAACAAAATTAGAAATGAATGCTTATAAAACTGGCTGACCTAACTGGGGTGGGGGAGAGGTTCTATCATTTGGCTTATTCTTCATAATAAGAGTGAGAAGTGTCTTTTTTATTATTATAACAGCCATTATTTGCAAAAATGATTCATGCAGTTCTTCTGTTTGCCTTTGATTCCTATGTTTAAGGTAGCATCTCTGCTAACAAATGAGAGAGAAGAGATGTTAGAAAGAGACAATTTTTGAACCCTCTGCTTAATTTTGTAGCGGGAGGCAGACAACAGGTACCATCTACCAAAAAATCCTAAAAGGGTTTGTGGTTTTGAATTTAGTTACGTAAGAAACTCTACACTTTCCATAATTTCCCAGAATCAAAAGCATTTTTGCCACTCTTTAGAGACATTTATCTACCGTGTTTCCCTGAAAATAAGACAGGGTCTTGTTTTCTTTTGCCCCCCGAAATAAGCGGTTGGCCTTCTTTTGGGGGAGGTCTTATTATTTTCGGGGTGCAGGAGGCGGTGAGCGTGGTCACCTCATGGCTGCTGCTGGGTTGCAATATTTTCGGGGAGGGCTTATTTTCAGGGTAGGGCTTATTTTAGCGCATGTGCTCAAAAGCCCAATTGGGCTTATTATCTGGGGAGGGTGTTCTTATTTTCGGGGAAGCAGGGTACATGCAAAAATGGCATTTCTAATCATTCAATGTCAAGACACTGCAAACTTCAGCTCTGTAGGTCTTGC